AATCATCCAAATAATATGCAAGTGCGCCAAACAGAAATGAGGCGAATCCAAAACAATTACCTTTTTAGGGGGATTCTGTCTGTTAAAAGCTTCTCCCCAAAGCTTGGCTTCCATTTGGAGTCGAACATCATCAAAATAGGTCTGGCGATTTGTGCGACTGATATACCTTTTTGCTACATAATTAGAAGCATGTGACCAAGACCCAATATGTGAGCCTGATTGAGGTAGTTTCTTCCTAAAAGTAAAAGCCAAGCATAAACCCATAACACATTGTACTCACATTCTAAAGCATTCTCGCATTGCCCCATGGTCGAACGATCTAGCTTCTAGTTTCACCTTGATGTTATCATGCAGCCATTTCTTTTTGATAGCACTGTAACGATGTCTAATGGCAGGTATCTCGGGAAGACCTAAGGTAAAATCATTCCATGGATCAAGGTCAACTGATCTAAGTCTTTTAAAAGCATATTTCCAAAGTTTGTAACCTAAAGTAATAAGAAAATATGACATCCAAGAGCCCAACTTAGGGAGCTATCTTAAAAAGTAGACAAACCATGAGACTCGTGAGAGACGCTGGATCTGACATTAGTTGGCGTGATAGGGGTGATGTATTGTCCTGCATCAGATAGCTTAGGATTACAGACGCCATTCCTTAATTTTGCTAAAGAGTAAGGTTCATCATCGGCTTCGCAAAACTCCATTTCGATATGGTAATATAAATAATTGAGCTGACAATTTCGGAATCATCAGAATTCTCTTTATGTTCACAAATCTAATCTGAAGAATAAAAAATAGTTTAAATACTTGCAAAAAGTAAACAAATAAACACTTATTGGCACTTACGCCTGAGAGGCAAATCGAGAACGACCGGGAGAGGAATGGGGAGGAAAGTATTCTCGAATGAAGAAGCTATGGTTAAGCGTAACAAAACAATCAAAAAAAAAAATTAAGATAGGTAATTTTGCTAATATAGATATTAATGTGAAGCAAATAACAGTGAAATTGAATGAATCTTTTTTT